GCTGGGCGGGGCCGCTTCAACGATGAATGAAGCCTCCAACCAAAGAGAAAGATGATTCCTCAGGTTCAAGCGCCCAAGACCCTTTTGATACTGCAATGCCTAGGCACTAATAGGGTCCATATTTTATCTTATCAGATTCAGCCAGCCGTTTCTGGGTCTAGGCTGGAGATCATCGCCACTGAGCTTGTCACTGCACCCACCGAGTAATACTCCGTACACAATGCTCCTGCGCGGTCATCCTGGGTCGATCTTTTCGGATCCTATCCAGAACCTGCGAAAGGCCAAGAGTCTGTAAAGACCCCGTGGGGCGCAGTCGGGGGACTTTAGCCCGGCCCGAAGGTCTGGGGACATGGGCCTGGGCATGCACCTCTCGAAACTCGACATCCAGGAGAAAGTGCGGTGAGATAGGAATGGTCTCATGTGACACAGGTCACAGTTCCCCTCGAACGTTGTCAACGAACACTTGACAAAAGTATCTCGCAGACTGCTTGGATGGTTCGCGCTGGTGTTCTTAGCTGTGAACCCCTCCGTTCTGCAAACACCCGCCTGCATGCGGCGAACCGCGGTCTCGTGAGCACGGCTGGGCGAGAACTTCTACTCATTCCTTCCGATGAAAGACACTATGAGTGTGTACCGAATATGTCAGGACAAACGTTGATAGGCGCTCGCCTGTCCCGGTCACAAAGGTGCACGGGGCACTCTCGCGGGGTTCAGCGTGATACTCGATCAGAGTTCCGAGTTCCAGTCAGAAGAGAATATGAGAAGCCGAGGACAACAAAATAAAACGTTGGAAGCAGGTCTTGACCTTTTGGTTGCATTTTACGGTCATGTTGGAGAATGAAGTCGAGACAGAGGTTACTCGATGCGGAAGGACAATATGCCAAAAAGATCCTCGCTTTTCTATTGGGAGGCGTTAAGCGCCGGTCACAGGTCTGTCGGCAATCAGCGACAGCTCCTCCGTTTTAGTCGTAGGCGATGGCAGGCCAAATCCAGGCCACCCGAGACGAAAGCCAGTCAACAGCTCGCCAAGGCTGCATATCGCAAAGAACAATGAACATGACTCGTTGTTTGTTTGTTTCCTTCTTCCGAGATGTCTTGTCGCGACGGGAGAAAGGATTGGAATGTGTGCGTGGAGGGGCAGGAAAAACAACCTCGGTCGGTGAGTGGCGGACTTGACGGTCACAAGCTGGTGGTTGTGCTTTTTCTGCAAAGCGGTTGTTGCATTAGCCTTCTTTTAGTCTCCATTTAGACCCGATCGGGTCTCTACCTTGATTGGCTTCTCGAAAATGCCTCATAGTAAAAATGTCCGTTCTTTGGTGGGGCTGTGGGCCAGACCCACCTTTTGCCCCATTGACCGTGCGCGGCCCCTGGTCTCGCTCATTGACAATCCTCAGTTGAAGATCCAGAACTCCTTCCTCCAGGCCACTGACAATTTGCATTTGGTACTGTGAATAATTGTTGTGATATCCCACGGTTCTCCTTGTCTGCAGTTCTGCAGTCGTGGTCTCTTATTACCCACTGGCTTTTGGCGGCCTCGTCTATGAATTCATAGTGTGGAGGAAATTCGCTTGTCAATGGAGCTATCGAGGTCTCCCCACACTGTAGATGAACAAACTTCTTGCATAGCTGCAGCACAGCTTTGTCGACCTCTGTGAGGAGATCACGCTACACGCTACACGCAACCATGTTCAACTCTCCCTTGCTGCGAATGCATGCATCGCCAACTGTCGAAAGTTCTTGTGGTCAGCCAGATGGCCAAAGTTGCCCTGTGCTTCAGCAGGGTTTGCTTTGGTGTCACCGGCGTATATGCTTCTAGAATCATTCTTGTAGGGAGCATCGTAGCACAGACCGCATGTTCACCGTCGGACGATGCAAAGTGGTCCATCGTTTCATGCGAATGCTTTCCGCAGTGGGTGTCTGCATCAGGTGAAGAGATCTCTGCAAATAATGCATTTGGAAAAGCCTCCGAGCGAAGAACACGATAGCGCCTGGATCTGACTGGCTCTACCTTCCGGACATCTGCATCGTATTCATGCAGCTCCCCTTTGTGAGCAGCGGGGACGAGCCTCAACAATATACCCAATGCGGTACTGCACTGTCAGAGGATCATGTCATGATTGAAGGTCTTGCGGGAAAAGGAGAGATTGGAGGAACAGGATGTGGCCCTTGTCACTTGGATCCGTATCTGCAGCGGTAAGACCTGGTCGAGCCGTGCGGCCCGCAAAATGGAAACACGAGAAAGAGTTTCCCCTGAATCCTGTGAGCATCCGAGGGTCATCTTCCAGCATGGTGTTGATTCGAAGATCCTTTGGGTTTTTTCCCGTTGCCCTACTGGTACAGTCCAAGGATTTTGTGTGCGTGTCTCGGGAGGCTTCGAGGTTGACGTCATGTCAGCTGACGGAAGAGGGCGGCATTCAGCCTGGGGCATAATAAATACAAACAAATGCAGGGAAGGGCACAAGGATGACGCGCGTGGGACTACCAAGGTTAGTCTTGGTAGTATGAACACGTCAGGGACCAAGTTGGATGTCGTATTAAGAAACCGAGACCGCTATACAACAAGAAATACTTAGTTTCGAAACACTCCCACAGGTGTCAGATCACTCATGTTCCATCGTGAGCAAGACTTGTCTGGTAGCCAATCGAGGTGAGGCGTATGAAGCCATCATGTGGTTTGCGATTGGCTTCGTTGCACAGGCCAAGTGGTTCGGTAGCAGTGAAAACGACATGAAGCAGTTCTACTGTAGGTCAAGCCGTCAATGATGTGGGTAGAATGTCCAAGAACTTGATTTCGGGACAGCAGGCGCCATCGACCCCACGGCAGTTCGTGCTGGGTGGAAGTGTTTGATCGCTGTACCAACCACAATAATGGCTAGGAAATGACAACGCGTTCCCGTTGGATAGGTGCTGAGATGACGCGTTAGAACCCGACATGCATTCTGGTCATATTGCGTCAAGACGGAACCAACGGTGAAAATTGCTGGTCATGACGCCTGCAGAACTGGCCTAGGTATGTACCAGTCACGAACCATAAGGGTCCATGGGAATTGCCCCCATCCCAGAGGTGCACCCGGAAAGGGTACCCTTGGAGACATGTCACCATAAAGATGATCTGACCGTGGCGAAGGTGGGCAGGATGGGCATGCCAATCGCAGTAACACCAGGCCAGCGTTTCTTGCTGGTAGTGCTGGTATTAGGTAGGTTCCGTTGCCCGACTGCCCGACTCGCGAGACATGCCCTATCCCAGCACACACCGGGCTGCCCATGTGGCCGGATCAACATGGGCTGTGAGGTACACAAGCATATAAATTTAGCAGTCTTCGTTTTTGGAGCCCGTACAGCCTGTGTGCAAAGCGGTGTACCAGAACCTCTTTATCGATCCTAGGACATGAGGCACAGACTCTCCTTCAAGTACCCTGCAGTAGTTTGTCATTATTTTCCCTCTCTTATTCTTGCATTAGCACGACGACTGCATTGACAACGATCGATACCCATTTGTGGAGGGGGGCAATTTCACCAGCGCACAAGGCCGCAGGGACCACGAAGTGGATAATTCGGGAGGCGAAAAGCCTACTCCCTAATGAAAAGCGAAGGCCGTTTTACTGGTTGGATGTCCGTGTCGAGGGTGAGGTCAAATGTATGGTTTCGAGTGCAGACATGGGGCGCCTTTGCCGCAGGGAGGATTGATCAACAAGGGAGAGACCAAGTCCGAGATCTGGACGAGTTGCCGTTTGAGAATTAGTGAGTGCGCCGGTCGGCCGTCGGTGGGCAGTGGGCAGTGGGCGGGCGGGCTGTGAGGTGGGATTTTGTTGGCTTTTTTGGGGGGAGCCACATGCCCATGGCGAGTCAAAGAATCAACAATGGCGCCTACAAATTAGGGACAGGTAACAAAGACATATATTAAGATTGCGCCTACCAGTAGGTTGCTTGGTAGGCTCTTAGGTACTTTAGGTACCAGGCAAGCTGGGTACTTGTACCAAGTACTAAAGGGAAACCTCCCCAACAACGAGACCCTGGGCCTCCTTCTTGTTGGTGCCCCTCCTCGGTCTCGTCTGGCCTGGCATCTTCTGGCTGGTTTGCTGGCCGCTGACTGTCTCTCTCTTTGTGTGTGTGTGTGTCTGTGTTTGGCTGCTCACAAATCTTTTTCTTCTCCAAATTTCTCTCTCGCCATCAATCCATCCATCCCATCTGGGTTCCATTACCACCATAATTGGTGTCGTCCTCCTCCCACCTTCTCGCTGGCAGCTTTTCCGGCGGCCCGCGTCTTTTCCCTCATCTTTCACCCATTTCCTCTTCACCGTCGCCCTTTGTCACCCTTCTTCCCTCTCCAAATTTTTCTTCCCTCTCCCCCTCCCGCCACCCGGCTGCTCCCTACGAAGGTAGAAGCACACCACCTGTGATTACCACACGGTACTTGGCCAACTACCACTTTCCGCCCTTGCCATCCTACATCCGCCTTCTTCCTACTGCTCCTCTCATCCAGCATCTTCGGTCTCTTGACCAGCTCATCTCGTAAGCAATCTATTCTCAATTTGAAATTCATATACCCGCATCTCACTCACACTGTCCAGATCCGCATTTCCCCAAGTTGCGCTCTCGCAAAATTCCAAGATACCGCAGAACGCCACCAACCGCGCCGCAGGCCTCACCAACTACCTCTCTCTCCGAAGACTCCTGTGTCTACGCTCTTCCACTCCCTTGGTGTTCAGAGGAATAGACTTGTCCACAATTCACAAAATGTCCAAGTCTAATTTATAACAGCGGCGGTCCCTGTGGGCCAACCCTAATCCATTTTCCCGTGCCAACAGCACAGTGCCAGCCAGGTACCTGTGTTGGTAGCCTTCCTGCCTGAACTTGATTGCCATCTGTGTCGGGCTGTGGGAGACATCTCCTGCAATCTCTTTGAATAATTCCATATTCACGGCTCGTCTGTTCTGCTCGCAGTCCAGATGGCACATCACCAAAAACATCAGATGGACGTCACCCGAAGTAGCTCAGCCATGCAGAGTCTACTCAAGATGTTCAGTCTGTCCAATGCCCCCACAGTTCCTCTCGGTGACGACGAGCTCAGTGCAGATGCGGACGAACCACCGGACGATCAAGTATCTCCACTGACCATCGTTCCCACGCGAGAGGCCCTCTACCACCGATCCAATGCTCCTCCAAACCCTCGTCGCGAGTCTCTTTTGACCCGTGCCATCCTGGCCGAATCCAAGCACGAAGATGATACCCATAACATGGCGGAGCGTGGGCTGTCAACAACCTCCTCTCACAGCACGGCGAGCATGCCTTCGACCGCCGAGTTGACGAGTGATGGAGACACCAGTCAGACGCGGTCAGCAACACCCAGTCCGCCGCCACCTTCACGACGCTTCGGCCCACTCCTCAGTCTCCAGAAAACCGACCCCAAAGTGATAATTGCCCCGATAACCAAGGTCGATAAGGAAGCCGTGGCAGACGTCGGCGAAGCAGCAGTTGAGAAGACACTGGGCCGTAAACGCTGCATCATGTTTGCTTGCGGCGGCACGGACTCGGAAAAGAGCAAAGACAGCGTAATAATAAGCAAGGAAAAGCCAGCAGCTGATCAACCCGAGCTTCCCAAGCGAAAGTGTGCGATCAGCTTTGCTTGTCCTTCGCGAACAAGCCCAAACGAGATCAAAAGCTCTCCCTCCAAATTACGGACCGAATCAAAGAACGCACGTCGACCGTCTCCTGCACCCGTCCGACGCAAATCCACTTCGACCGAGTCTGTCGACCTCTCTGGCCGCTCCGCCGACACAGCCAAGATGCCTACTCACGAAAAACCGAAACCTAGCCCGCCCTCTCTAAAGGCGACCTTTCATGAGTTTGGTACATCTCAGGACGAGACTGACTCATGGGTTGATCAACCTGACTTCCACAAAGAGAGGCTCACCTTTGATGATTGTATGAAAAAGGAAAACCGTATCCGTCAAATTGGACGAGAAGCGGAAGAGGAGGCGGAGGAAGAAGAACGCGAGCAGGAGGAGCTCGAAAATGCATCTGAGGATGAGGACAATGACAACGAAGACGACTTCGCCCCATCTGATGATGGCTCCGATGGTGGCAATGAATCGGACGATGAAGGAGGCTTTGCCAGCTCCGACGAAGAAAGCGATGGCGGCTCTGAATATCGATTTTGGGCTCCTTCCAACACCAGCGCGGCCACGAGCAATGAACATCTCAATATCAGTCACTTCAGTGCACGCCGACATTCCGAAGCCAGTTCTGTCGAGTCTTTGACCCGTTCGAGCACCCCACCCCTCCATTCGATGATCAGGCAAGCTGGAAGACGTCGCAACAATACCTCCAAGGTGCCCAAAATGAGACCCGGCACCCCGGAGTTACCGGACAGTACCGACTTTGTGTGTGGGACTCTTGATGAGGATCGTCCCCTAGAGGCCGCATATATCTCTTGCCGCGAGCAGAAGAAGCGGGAGAAACACATCCCCATCCCACAGGACATCGATCCAAGCTTCCCGACCACTGACCCGGAAGACAACGAAGAAAATACTGATGACGAAGAGCTCAACGAGTCACAGCATAGCTCGGAGGGCCCGCGATGGCTCAAGGATGGGTTTGCTGACTTTGACGAGGAGCATCATGGACGCCGAAAGCCATCGTTCACCATGCCAATCGCTCATTCACCCTCTCCACCTCGTGCTGCATTTGGTGGAAGAGTAGGTCGCAGCACTCACCGCTCCCCGCCGCTGAAGCACGCGAATGCACGGTCGCCGCCGCCCCGAAAATTGTTTGGCCATTCCCCCACCAGGTTCAGGTCACCTTTCCCGTCAGCCAAGTTGCGCTCCCCTCGTGGCTCGCCTACGAACGCGGGCATTCCAACCAGGATCAATCCGAGAGGACTCGCTCAACGTCCGACTATGGAGCGGACAGCGTCCCTCCCAGACACTCCTAATCCATTCTTCAAAAACTTCCACATTGGCAGTCCTTCCATCTCCAACATCGCGTCTGGGGCTGTCACACCAGCCGTTGAGGAAGCCCCTCGTCCGGACATGCACGTTCGCGGCCCGGTCGACATTGTGGCCGGGCTTGAAAAGAAACGGCAGAAGCGCAAAGAAAAATACTGGCGTCAGCACTGTCGTAAAGCGGCCAAAGAACAAGCCGGACGCAAGCCAGTTCCAGGTCGTGGAGCGGAAAGAATGAAGGAGCTTGGTCTCGAATGTGCCGAGCGAACAAAAGGCTACGGTATCGGACAACAGACCCAGCTGGTGCTGTCGCTTTGATTCCCTTCACCAAACCCACATTCGACACATATACTGTTTATTTGTCTTCCATTTCTACTCGGGCTCGCTTGAGCCTTTTTGAACATATATCGGTGCGGTTTCGCGCTCGAGTATGACGAACTTTATGACGGGGTTGGCGGGAGCGAAATGGGTCATTGCACAGTCCGCATACCTATTTCGTAGCAGACAATGGTTTTAGGACACAGGACCTTTTATGCATAGCACTGGCGTACATCGCGAGGAGGCGAATCTTGCGTTGTAAATATGTGACATGACCATCAGCATGGTCCCCAGAATATCAGAATGGCTCTCTCGAGTGACAGACTCGATTGTAGAGCGTGATATGCACCAAGCAAAAAGAAGTGTTGTTGTAAATGTACCTCTCCTTTTCCGTTCAGCTTTGCCGGACAACAAGTCCTCAGCCCATTCTTCCGAACCAGGGTTTGATGTGGTCTCGTGAGCTGGCAGAGTCACGTGTCAATACCATCACGTGAAAGGCCTCAACGGAAGACCAACTCCGCGTACTTGGGGATCTTCCTCTTTTAGGAACTTTTCATACGGTGGCACCCGTCACCTCACTATTGCCGTGAGATCTGGCCGAGTGCCTCCATCATTCTTATTCTCGTTATCCGCCCTTCTTGCCCGTTCTGTGACTGCATTATCACAACAAACACCTCCAACACATTCAAAGCTGCTGACATGTGGATCATCAACTGGTGTATGTGCCACACCATTCCTGCGTCTGCGCAGAGGACAAACTGACCTGATGGCTTTATCATTCTAGTCTACGATATCCTCGCCTCTCTGGGCCTTCTCAACAAGCATGCCAAACTCCTCTTCCTCGGTCTCGACAATGCAGGGAAGACGACATTATTACACATGTTGAAGGTGAGCAGACACAGAAGCAATAACCTCTGGAAATATGATGTGGTGCGAAAATGGATATGGAGCGAATCGGGCATGGCCAGAGTGTCGGGGATGTCGACCCTCACCATGATCTTCAAAGAGCTGCAGTTTCAGACATATTCGGTTGTGGAGCACGCGCGTGCTGACGATGTGTGCTATTTTACAGAATGACCGGGTCGCAATCCTTCAGCCTACATTACATCCCAGTAGGTACTGCCCTGAAATTTTGAGCCTCAACCCGACAGTAGAGACTGATAAACTTCTGGTACAGCGTCCGAAGAGCTCGCCATCGGCAACAACAGATTCACAACCTTTGATCTGGGTGGTCACCAACAAGGTACGTTACACGCCACCTGGCTCTCATTTCCTTCGACGGCAGATGAGCTGAATCCTGCGCAGCGCGCCGTCTCTGGCGCGACTACTTCCCCGAAGTATCGGGCATTGTCTTCCTCGTCGACGCAAAGGACCACGAACGTCTGCCCGAGGCCAAAGCAGAACTGGACGCTCTCTTGGCAATGGAAGACCTCGCAAAGACGCCGTTTTTGATCTTGGGAAACAAGATCGATCACCCGGATGCCGTGTCGGAGGATGAATTGAGACATCAGTTGGGTCTGTACCAGACTACGGGGAAGGGCAAGGTGCCCCTCGAGGGAATCAGACCGATCGAGGTGTTTATGTGCAGTGTTGTCATGAGGCAGGGCTATGGAGAGGGTATCAGATGGCTGGCGCAATACGTTTGAAAGATTGCAGAGCGAACCATGGATAATGACAAAGGGGAGGTGATGCCGACAGCCTACAACGACCGGTACATCCGTCTGTCAAGCCACAATCCCCATAGTCCTCTGTCAATCACCCTTGGTCTGTCAAGCAATCAAACAATCCATCCACCTATTCATCCAGCTATGCACCCACTCATCCATCTATCACGCATCAAACCAATCAAGCGATTGCCCCTGATCTGAACCACAGACAACCAAAAAAGAGCCATAATTTCAATGATTGCCCTCCCCAGAAAGGACCCCCGACCCCGAAATCACAACCTACCTACTGCCACGATTGCTCTTCCTCCTCCCTATGTACGGGCACTGCATAGAGCATAAGAATTCAACACAGGAGGAAAGAATATAGAGGGAAGGAAAGGGAATCTCTCACTCGCTGGCTGGCTGGCTGATACGATCGAGGGGGGGTTATTTTGTCTTTACCTTTTGCTGTCTTTTCCCCTCCTTTTCCCCCTCCTTGGTTTTGTTTTGTTTGATTCTTTTTTCCTCTCTCTTTCTTTTGAGGAGCACAAGTAGGCAGGAGACAAGAGTGAAGGCGGACACACACACACACACACACACACACACACACACACACACACACACACACACAACGAAATGAAACGAAAATGGAACCGAAATGAGGCGAAAACTAAAAACTAAACTGTTTGGCAACTCAAGAATAAGAACAAGAACCAGAGCCAGAACCAAGGTGTATTAGAGCGAGAACCGAGAATCGCAATGAGGATCACAATGAACCATAACATCCAAACCCCCCCCCCTTGCCCTCGCTCGGACGGGAGATAAAGAGATTGGATCTTACCGGATTCTCCTTAATTCTCAAACAATGCAAACGAATCGAGTCTCCTATTCTATGTACACGGAGTACATCTATATCCCTAGGTACATGCTATATTGCGGGTGTGTATGTATGTGCGTGCGCGGCTCTCATGTCGCTCGCGCCGAGCAATCTTGACTGGGGATGTCCATGTTTCTCCGTACCATCGTTATGTGGACTGCTTTTCCGCTCTTTCTGTCTTCGGAAGACTATTTCTCTAACATGTCGTGGTGGCCTCTGGATGTCATATGTAGGTGGAGGAAAGTCCCCGTTCTAAGCCATAATCAGATCAGACACGGCATTCGAAGATGGGTAGTTTAAGTGGGTGAATGAATGTCTACCAAACCGATCGTAGATCCTCAGTTACCTTGATATTCTCGTGTTCTCAGTTAACAATAGGCCTTGACAGAAGCGACAAAACAGGGATACCAAAAACATACTACAAGTCGAAGCCATCTTGATACAGAGGGAGCGGATACAACTGCTAACTTGATGCGTAACTGTTCTGTTCTGCGTTGTGTGGCGTGGTATGATCTGCTTTATTCTTGTTCTGCACCGTGCATTCAATCATTCCGTGGGCGTTTTCTTGTCCATCCTTCATCACCGCATCGAAAAGGCATGAAAGCAAAACCATCATTTGCATGGTACACTTGGAACGGGGAAAGTAGCCTCGCCTTGCGCCCTGCGCTCCAGCAGCATCTCTTTTCCTTCTTTCGAACAGACAACACACAGGTGCACGTACACACCGAATAGGAGGAGGAGGAAGAGGAGGTCAAGTTCTGAGTGATCAAAAATGCGCTCTCCACGTCCCCGACACCACAACCCCATTCCACAACACTGTCACCATCCGTAAACCCATTTCCGTTGTAAGCCCATGAAAAGAACAAATAGATCACCTCATCCGTGAACCTCGAATCGACCCGATACATCGCCACCATATTGTGGTGATGACTGGTTTTGCCATTGTTGATACTGGTGGTGACTGGCGTCCGACCCCGAAATTTGGCAGTCGGAGGCTGGTCAACGTATCGATGAAAATAACTAATTGGGAAGTCTTCGCAGGTCCATAAAGATGAGATGTTCATGGGAACGTGGAAAATATTAAGTAGTGGCGGTTGGTCGCATGCTTCGGAACCGGAGGGAAAGGACACTGGTCGAGTGCGAGACCGGATCGAGGGGGAAGCCAGAAGGTGACCCTATCTTCTTCCAAACCTGCTATCAATGACATCGAATCAGCCCGAGTTGAAGGGACTAGGTTTTGAATTTGCGAGGCGGAGTAGTGGACCCGCTTGAGCTCTTGGAGCCATACACGTACTTTTGTTTCTTCTCGGCAGGTTTGAGAATCTGGTACAAGTGAGAGTCAGCAACGAACTCTGCAGGGCCAAAATATGGGTTCGACGATTTTTTGCCATACCTGGAAGGAGCATAGCAGACTTTCATCCACGCTCATCATTGCACCGGCATTATCAAACTCGCCGCAGTAGTTTGGAGCGCTGAATAGGGTGACCAGTTGTCGCTTGGAGAAGAACTCGTAACCATCTTCCACCACTTGATGTGCACGACAGATGAGGTCCATGTCATGTTTTTGCAAGAAACGTGAAACGACATCGGGCCCGAAGGTGAAAGAAACACCTCGATCATTCTCGCTCCAGCCTGTGATGTCTTTGTCGGGGTCTGACCAGAGCAAATCGCAGAGGAGGCCGCAGTCGGGAATCTATCATGCGTTAGCAGAGTTAGCACTCAGAGCACAAGTGAAGCGCCGGCCTCCTTGCAGGGGAAAAAGAGTACATACGTCTGTAGGTCGCATGACGCGGCGGATTTGCTCCATCGAGTTCAAATCGGGACTCAAACCCCCATGCATGGTGAAGATCTTCTCGTCAATGATTGCAGCGATAGGCAAGCAGTTGAAGCAGTCCGTAAATGTCTTCCAGAGCTTGATGTTGTATCGACGCTTGCACTCATCGTAGAAGCCGTAGATACGGTTGATGGAGGCACACTCGTGGTTGCCGCGCAAAATGAAGAAATTCTCGGGGTATTTGATCTTGTAGGCCAGAAGCAAGCAGATGGTCTCAAGGGATTGCTTGCCTCGATCCACATAGTCGCCAAGGAAGAGGTAGTTGGCTTCAGGAGGGAACCCGCCGTACTCGAACAGGCGGAGGAGGTCGTAGTATTGGCCATGAATGTCGCCACAAATCTGTCGCCATCATTGTCAGCTTTTGACAGTTGTTCAGGGCGCGTGGGTTCGTTATCCGCAGGGGGAGCAATGTACCTTGATCGGGGCTTCCAGCTCCAACAATATCGGCTGGGAGATGAAGATTTCTCGTGCCTTTGTGCACAGATAGCGAATCTCGGATTCGAGCAGTTGAACCTGCTTCCCCGGTCTGCTTCCTCTGACCTCTAACAGGCGATCAATGACGGAATCGAGGTCCATCTCATTTTGGTCGGCCATGGTGGGATCGCCGCGGGCGGGGCAAGGGGTGGGAAGGAAGGGCGGGCGGCGACCAGGTGCGGTCGGATGAGGGAGAATTCAAGGGAACCGATGTATCTTAAGGTGTGCAGATGGTAATGCCAGTCTGCTGAAGAAGAATTTCCGTCAGTCTGAGATGAATTAGTGGTAGGTTGTGAGAGGCAGCTGACGCAAGTGACTAGTTCGGGGGGCAGAGTGTATGTACCAAATTTGAATTTTCGACCCCAGGACAGCCACCGAACGGGCTCAGCGAGAGGAGTCCCAATTGGACTTGACGAGGAAGAGACGAGGATCGCAAGGGGGGACAAGGACCTTCAGCAAAGAGAGGTGTTGTTATCGTGGCGGATGTCCAAGGGACCCTTGTGGCACAACCAGGCAGGGCTGAGGAGGTTTTTCTCGGCGCAAAGCGGGCAACGCAGGTGGACTTTCGTGAGCACTGAGCAGGGAACAAGTTGACACGGGGCGATTTTTCTCTTCTTTTTTTTTGGCAGACAGTGGGCCGGTGTCAGCGAAGCAGGGGGAGCGCAGTCTGGTGAAGAATGAGGATGGAATGAATTGAATACTGATCGCAGGGCGACTGATACAGGCGAAATGTGAGGTGGACTGCGGGAGGATGAGAAAGGCAGCGCAGGTTTGCGGTGCAGGTGGCTATGGGATAAGATGGACGGGATGAGTGGTTGGTGGACGGTTGGACGGTGGATGGTGGATGGAGGCACCAGAGGCAGCAGCGGCACCAGAGAGAGCGAGCAGGGGAGGAGGGTGGTAAGTGGTGAGTGCTAAGTGGGTGGAAGGCGGGATTCGTTTTGATTTTCTCAAATCCTGGCAGGCGAGGCGGCGAGGCGGTATCCTGTCTTGGCACCAACCCCAACCCCAACCCTCAGCCTTCAGTTTCGGCCTCGAGGACAGAGATATCCTTTCCAGTATATTTTTTTTCTCTGGTTGATTATGTCGTCTGGTCCCGCGAGCAGAAGCACAGGCACCCTGACGAACAAGAGGAGAAGAAGGAGGAGGAGGAGGAGGAGCGAACAGAGAAAAGAGACAGTTATGTGTCCATGCTGCCAACATGCAATTTTGGTGAGGAAAGAGAAGGACACACAGAGACAGCTGAGGGATGAGAGATGAGAGACGAGAGACGAGAGAGGAATGAGCAGTCGCCACGAGTGACAAACAACAGACGAACAGCCGCAACTACCTCGATCACCATCCCTCAGTCCCTCAGTCCCTCAGTCCTCCATCCTTCGTTCTCAGTCCCTTATGGCGCAGCTGCGAACTTTGTGGAGGACCTGTCACCATCCGTCCATCCCACCCACTAATCGACCAAACCTACCGACCATCCACAAACCGCTATCCGCAGCTTCAAATACCTTTCACTTTTCTACATTCGCTTGAATCACCATCTAGTGTATTTGATAATACGGGAGGTCCCTTCCATGCTGACATAAAGCAGTGCCTGTCGCCTTCTATCTCCATCTCACGTTAGAGATTGATCAGGTTGTCGTAATCACTCTCCCCTTGCGCCTGTCCCGAGCACGAGCTGAAGTCGTCGTGGCGACCGAAGGAATGCAGGCCACCAAACAATTTCCTACCAATGCACACAGTGTGTCCAACGGCCTAAGAAACTCTCGCCAATACCTTGTTGTTGGGGTTTCGACCGTCGGCTTTTGAGTGGTCGCTTACGCGACGACTCGGATTCTTGCCTGGACATCTAGCTTGGATTGACGCCGCGCATACGCACAAAATCATTTGACGCTGCTTTTCTTCACCGGATTTGTCGGCGAGCCTCGTTACTTCCCCAGCTATATCCGGGCTCCGAGAACAACATGCCAGGATCCCTCTGCAGGTGTCGGCACTTTGGTTACAGACGAGGTCGTGCGATGCATAGACAGCCTCAGTGTTTATCGAGGCAACAAGAGATGGATGGACTGGGTGCTTTTGGCAGATCGCAAACATGTAACAATTGCAAACAATGACTAAACGTCCAACCCGGTTCCGTGGTCTCATGCTTTCATGCAATCATGATAAAAGCACTCTGTAACAAATGCCCGTCCCATCAAAATAAAAGACACCGTCGCTATGCTTCAAAGGACACAATCAAATAGAATGCCACAAGCAGCCCGCGCAATAAAACAGGAAAGCGATGAATGGTTTTCCCCCATCCCGCTATACATAGCACCAATTCTTTCGGCCAAAATCACAACGAATGGGTATATCAATGCAGTCCAAACACACAAAACCCACAGCCTCGTGGCTGAGACACGAATGGCCTCTAGTAAGAATGTCAAAGCAAGAATGGCCGCAAATACGCAGCGATATCCCACATGCCTGGAGGACGGACTCATCCCAGCGTCCGCCCGCCGCCACTGACAATGACCTGGTGTCCTGACCGGTGCAATGCATCATGGCCCAGGCTTTGCCCCTGCAACACTTCAAAATGATGGTTGTTGTGCCAATTTTTGTCACCCAGGGCACTCAGCCAATTGCTACCAAATTCTTGTCGGAGTGCCTCCACTTTCGCTCGGTAGTCGTCATGTTGCTGAGCCGGCTCGCTCGAGCCAACAGACGGTGCCTCCGTCGAACCGTCGAAAACATCGTCCACCACGGCTTCTGCCGATGCCGATTTTGGTACGACCGGGTCGTTGAGCGTAGGCACATTCTCGCGGTTTGCAATCCGAGCACTCGGCGTGATGGTCGCCGATAGATCCTCATCAGGAATCCGGGCAAATGTTTCATCATGTGCCAAATCGACTATCCGTCTCCGAGGAGCCTTTTTCCGACGAGTCGTGTTCATGACCATTTCCGCTAGCTCGGTGGAGCCGGGCTGAGCCGGATCGGACTGTTGAACAATGACTGGGTGCTCAGCGATTCTGATGGATGGTTGCGAAAGCTCTCTTTCAACCTCGGGGACTCGATCCACCAACTGCTTGCGCTCCGAATAACCTGGTCCTGATTCATCAATGATAATGTCATCAACATAACCAGGTGTCTTTCGGAACAGATTGAATGTCGTTACCCGATACTCAGAGTGGGTCTTCGTAAAAGGGTTTCGCTTGACCCATATCCGTTTTAAATTCGGTATACCCGTGAGCCGCGCCATTTCCATCGGGTCTGAGAGTTGATTATCCTGGACGTTCAATTGTTCCAAAGACAACAACTTTTCAACACCAGCCAAGGACCGCAAGCGGTTGCCTTTGAGGTTAATTGTGAGAACCGCGGGCAGAGGCGATCTTGACAGCGACTGGAGAGAACCAATCATGCAATTTGACAGATCAAGAGAAACGAGCCTCGTCAAAGACGCCAAGCTATCCGGAATTTCGTTGAAGAGGTTAGAGGAGAGATTGAGAGATCGAAGAGTGCTGGCTACAGGGGCCAGACTCTGTGCTGAGATGGTGGTCATGGAGTTGTCTGCCAGGGACAGATACTTCAGCCTCTGCCATTTCGAGGGAGGTAGAATATTTAAGCTCAACATGTTGGTGCTGCTCTCGCTACGATGTGGCTGAATCGAGTATTCGCTCGAGTAGGAACTGCCAGACCCCGTCCTTCTCACCGTCGACGAGTAAGTCCGAATATGCCTATAGGAGCTGGCAGGCCGAGAGGCGCCGGGCCGTTTTGGAGACACGCTTCCCGAGAGTGGCTTCGCTTTGGGCCCTGGGTCCATCGAGTCTTCATTATCCAAACTTCCATGTGCAGGGGAGCCTGGATCGGAATGTGACTGTGCATATTCAGCTCGTGGCGTTGATGGCACCGTCCAAGAGGCAGACATAGTGGGAGATCCGCGGCCACCCTTGGTCGACCGCCTTCGACGCTTTTCAGCGTCATCCAAAACTATATTTGTGAGCAACTCGGTCGGATCAGTGACATTGGCACGCTTCACGGTGAGTAGCGTCAGCTGCTCGGACATTCGATCCCATCCAAAGAACTGACGAAAATCGAGATCTACTATATCCAGCTGTTGAAGGTTTTTGAAAGCAAATAATGGAACAGCAGTGTCGAACGGGAATTCCTCGTAACCCTTGATTAGCCTGGCGCGGTGATCAGTGGTGAGGCGCAGAGAAGGAAGCTTGGTAAAGGCAGAATAGAGGTAGGTGAGATCTGCCTGTGTGAGGGCTTTGGCCTTCTCGCTTTTAGATGCGCTCCCTCCAAGACCAATGGACGACCAGAAAGAGCTCATTCCCGACATGACACTTCGCATGCTGGACACAGAGTGTATGGAATCTTTATCGCTGCGGCCTTTGGCTGGTTTATGGGTTTGCAGGAAGGAGACATAATTGGAGGGTGTAGGCTCGTTGGTGAGGCTCTCCAGGCGAATGTTCATCGGCCCAATGGCTATATCCAGCTCTTCCATGCGAGACAGGAGGTAAAAGAGATGATGGGGTGTCAGCGTCAAGAGGGCCGCTTTGGCAGCATGCGACCGAAAGTAGAGGCCGGCAAACGAAAACGCTGCGGCTAGAGCGCCGGCCGAGGTATTTGTACTCGAGGAAGAGGTACCTGAGGTCGGGGCAGAGCTTTTTGTCGTGTTGTTATTGAGGGAGGCCTGTCGCCTGTGGACAGACATCTGCAGACTATTTGCGAGAGCCTTCTCATGTTGGCGGATAAACTGCGCCAGAGACTATAAAAGAGCCGCGTTGCATCAGTCAATGTGTTTGAAAGGAAAGGGAAAAGACGGTTCTGCGATCTGCGTGATGCCTGCGCGTGTGCGCATAATTGTGGAAATTATGGTAAAAAGAGCACTCACTCGGATGAAATGATGCCCATCCTCTGTTTGCAGGCGGTCCATCTCCTGCTTTGTCGAACTCGAAGGTTCGAGACGGGCTAGTGGGGAAGGTTCAATCTGAGCAAATTCTTAAGGTAAAGGAGCGTGGAGGATCAAAATGTGCGACCCGGGAGCTGCTCGCCAAGTCAACAGCCGGCTCATTGATGGGCTGAATTTTCCAAGGATGAGAACGTACGAGGATTCTGCGAGAAAATCATGGTGGCATGTGGCGTGTAAAAGGTCCCGGTTGCAATGCCTGCCAACGTGAAAACACTGTCCGGAGCCGGTGAGGAAGATTGCAGATGTGCCTGTGCCTCTCTTCACGCGTGATTCACCCGTGAGACAAGACTCTGATTCACACGAGGGAGATTGGGACAGAACGCCGTGTATATGAAGGCGAATTGGGACGTTCAACCAACTGCTGTGTAAGCACAGATGGTTGCGTGACAGTCGCAGGCGGGCAAGTGACGGCCTCGACGGGTCAGCAGTGAGGTGAGCCGTGGGATGTATGAGGCTGAGGGGAATATGAGGGTGTGTATGTGCAAATGATGAATACTACCACGGACGAGAAAGTCGAAATCAGCAAACAACCACGGTCCAGTCTGGGGGTGGACGGGTCCAGGGTCTTGAACAACGGTGGTGAGAAGCTGGGTATCAACGTCTTGAGTTGTGTGTGTGTGTGTAGGTAAGAAGCGCAGGATGGCGGGAGTGGGATGTAGGATGGAAATGGAAGAGATGGAGCGTGCAGAGTTTTGCTATCAAAAGGTAACAACAGAGTTAGATTGGCCTTGGTCTAGGGTGGAGGGGGACCGGCGGACAGGTGGGCTGCTTTCCATGGGCACCTTTTAACTAGAACCGATCAGATGCAGGGACCTGGGTCTGGGTGGGTGACTGGAGTCCAGGGAAGGGGGGGCAAGAGCTAACTATAAGGCCTAGGGTCAGTTAGAGCCTTAGAGGGAGCGGGATCAGATGCATATCATCCAGCGTCTTGGTGGGCGCAGGTGGGCGCAGGTGGGCGGTAACTCGCAACTACCAAGGAGGTCGAGGATTCCGCCACTCTTCTTCGGACGAAACACCCCCTCCAAACCCTCCCTCCAGACGTCCCCACGGTAGCCCACTTGCTCAACTGACTGGTTCCCTCGATTGTCGGTGCATACCAAGCTAAAGACGACGCGACAAATGACTGAGTGCTAACTACGTCTTCAGGATGCGCATAGTGGCACCTGTGGTTGGCATCTAGAGGTAAGGTATCCTCATGCTTGGGACAGTCAACTAATTACCGCCATTGAGGCAACAGGATCGACGTTGATCTCCCTGCGGCGCCTCTATCCGATTTCCACGACGGGTATATCGACAACGTATCCCACCCACAATTCTACTCCTTCTGGACCCCCTGACAGCGTCCGTATCACGAGAGCGGCGATGATATCCTCTTTGTTCTCACCTTGGCCCGCCCGCAATCCGAAGCTTCACACCATCCACCCGTAGTTTTCGCGTGATTGACCTCGTAATCCATAAAATTAACTCTCAGCTTCCAGCCACCAGAGCAGCACTTGAATGTCGCAATGAGATCCGTCGATGGCCGGCCGGACAGGCTCGGCCCTCGCTTGCTTCCCATATGTAACAAGTAGCAGCATCCGGAGAGCGCATCTAATCATAGGCTGGAGGAGGAACACAATCACACAACCGCTCACGGCGCCCCTCATGCCACTCGACAGGCGAACAGAAAACAGTGCTGAAAGGTTCTGTCAAATCGTCGAGGCTAAACTTTATTGATTGTCGCGCTGAGACTTCGCAAGTTATGCAGTCAAATCGACTCGACTTTTCCCTGAACCTCTAGGGCAATTCCACGCCATTTACGAAGGCCACGCCCAATTAGTGGTCGCTGTGGTCATCTCGCATACAGACTACCATTAGGCCCTTCGATGCACCTCGGAGGTCCAAAGCGCACTGGGAAAGGCTTCCCTCTGTTTGACTGGCCTGATGGTTCGAAACACCCAAAGTGTAGCCTGATCAGGCTTTGCAGGTGGCACATTGCCAGCTGAGGATGATAACGCCAACCAAAAGGAGTGTGTGTGGCGAGTCTGGCTTCAAAATCCGATGGCTACCACCTGCATTCACGGATGCTCATCTCGTCGGCTTCGGCATTCACATATCACGGACGCCCGCCTGCATGACCAGTCCTTCTGCGTCTGTGCGCAGTCGACGACAGGCCAGGCTTTTGACCGCTACTCTACAGTCACAACTCCAGGCTGTAGCTTGTCGCGATCTCGACCGATCAACCAATGCTGATGCATGGGCCGTGTGACACAGAATGCTGCACGAGCTCGACCGGAATATATTTCACTCACCACAAGTTCGCCATTGACATGATCGGAGGGTGTAAGAGGCCCGCTAGGCAAAAATGCTCCCTTTACACTGCAATCCTAAGGCGTATTGGTCCGTGGTCACATTTCTAGCGTGTAAATCAGCTGCAGCTTCGGAGGACCTCATGACCGATGCTGCAGAGTGGTGGCCTCGATGGCAACAACCATGTTCCCAACACACCAGCCTGCTTGATCTGTGCCTGTGCCGGCTCAGCAAACGAAGCGCAGTTCAGCTTTTTTTTTTTTTGGATGCAGAGACCCCGGGAGCTTGTCGCCTGGAGAGAAAAACTCGGCTCCTGCCAGTTAATTCCGGGGGGGGAGGGGGCGCCCTAACAAACTTGAGGCAAATAAATGCTGTGTTCTGGCTGTGATGGTACGTGTTGTCCTCCCGCCGCTTGGGAGGCCAAGTGTGGGATGTAGTGCACTCTACCGAAAAGCATACGGCGTCAAACCGATTATGCTGTGTCACAGGAAGATCGCAAACATTGGAGTTGATGCACCATTGGTCCACGAAAGGATGCCCCCAAGACACAATATTCCATCCTACTTGTATATCACTTCCAAAGGTCGGAGACCGGCTGCCGAGAGCCCCAACTAGCCAAACATGAGGTCTGGCTTCTGGCATCGAAGGCAAAACTCCCCAGAATCTCTCGCCTCCCTCAATACCGAAATCGACGCCATTCTTAGCTTGGCCGCTGGCTATCAGTCTTTTACTAGCTAGCCCGCCAGGCTACGCCAAGGTGAAGCTCCTGAGTGCCTATTAGTTCGCTATTATTTCCTGCTAAGCAAGACAGTCTGTGAGTGATCTGAAGCGAGCAGCCAATGGGCCCTTTGGTCCCAAACTTGGGCTGGGCCGGAAAGGGAAAAGGTCAGCAAGGATTTTCACATGCTTGACTTCCTGGACCAGCTGTAGTATCAACGGCAGAAACAGAAAGAGAGAAGGAAAGAAAAAGGAAATGAAGAAGGTTCTCTCGCTCACTCGAAACTTTACCGCCATTTTTGCAGAACAAGCAAAACAAGCAAAACAAGCAAAACAAGCAAAACAAGCAAAACAAGCAAAACGGCTCGAAAACCGTGAGGAATTAGCTGGCGGTAATAACAGTGCGGACTGGCGGGGTAGGAATTCGCAAGGATCATGAGCAAAATTCCTGCTGAGAGCGATACAGTGAGGAATCTTCGTCTCTGATCCCGAGTGCAATATGCCGGTAGTCGTAAGCTAAGGATATCGGCCAGTGCAAAAGCACACCGACGTCGCCTAGGCAAAGAGCATTAGATGCATTCGTGCTATGTTAGCGGCAGAGCTCTGGTGGATTCAGGTTGCATGCCTACGACATCTTGCATCACTTCCAAAGCTCGTCAAGGCTCCAAGTGCCCCCGAGTCGGTACTAACCCCCACAGCATCAGAGAGGTCGACCCCAAATGTTTTTTCTTTTCACAAATCATCGCAGTGCTCTCGACGATGCTCGACGATCTCTGAGGGAGCTGCCAGTTTTGGTTTTGCTCGGCACGTAATGGGCCTCCATACCTAGGCCGTGAGATGTCAGGCCAAACGGAGATGTCCATCACCATTCTGGAAAATATGCAGCGATAGGCGTGGGAGGTGAGCTGCTTGGCCACCGCCAGGCAGGATTGCTTGAAGCATTCGAGTCCTGACCCGCCAGCTCCCTTCATCCAATCTCTCCAGATGGAGGGGCAGCAGGATGATGTCAAGCCCCGACAATTACCCACTGGCATTTCGCGAGAGGTAAATGCATTACCTAGCGAGCTTTTTAGCCACAGTTCGCACTGGAATTGGGTTACTGGTTGCTCATCATCTGACCAAAAATCCGTCGATCGAGGCCCCCAATCCCTTTCCCAAGCATTATCTTATTCTTGACCCCGAGGTCGAGCTTAGACACAGGTTTTTGGGGACATATGGGAGGAAGGAAGCGGTGTGTCCCAATGAACGCGTGGGGCGGAATTTGGATAAGTGAGCCAGACCTTCGTGGTGCGGGCATACGCCGTTGGCGCCGGCTTCGGACCAGCCGTACTCGTAATGAGCATGATTGATCACCAGAGCAAACGGGTTGTACTTGCACTGGGTACTTGTATGGATGAAAGAGGGTTGTGTGCGTGATATATTGTGGCTTGTGGATGTGTGGCGCTATCTTGGCATATGTGGCGCTATGCCAAGACATATGCGAGCCCTCGACCCTTCCTTCAACTGACAACTGGTGACCCCAACAAAGACGACATCATCGTCACACTGTAATGGGACCACCCAAGGACCACCTTACCACCACAACCACTTTAACATCTCTCCACTATTTCGCCTCCCTTGCTCTACCCTCATCTTCCTTTTCACTTGGGGTTGTCGAGTCCTCCCTGATATCGCAATGAGCTCGCACTAGGATCGTCGCACTGACAATGTCAGAATCATGGTCTCCAACCCAAGAAAGACCGATGCGGACGCATCGACGCCACCCTCGACTGGCACTTATGATCCCCACGAATTACCGGATTACGAGACCGAATTTGTTCGACACGGAGATCTGGAAAGTTTTGCTGAAGCCCTGATCGCTCCCAGCACCGAGCCCGTAACAGCTCTGAATGATTGGGGCCCGGTTCATCAGCGTGTGAAAAGAAACCGAGTCCGCCGGAAAGCTACGCGGCGATCCAAGGATGAAACTCGGGAAGGCGTCGTTTACACAATCCTGTACTATCCATTGCTGCTCATCGTCTCTGGCTGGATAGTTTTTCTCTTCATCATTTACAATCTAACCCGTCTCTACATTTACGTATACGAGCATGTGTTTTCGTGGACAGGGGAACGCGAGAGACTGCGCAGGCAACTTCACCGAGCGACCAATTACAACGAATGGCAGGAGGCCGCCCATCGCTTGGACCAATATCTTGGGAATGAAGAGTGGAAGCGCTCCGAATCCTACTCGTATTATGACCATCAAACGGTGAGAAAGGTCACCGCCCAACTGGCTGAGCTCCATCAAAAGGCCGTAGCCGAGTCCGAAAGAGGTCGCGGCGGAAATGGTGGCCTCGTGGCTCTGGATGAACTAAAAGCATTGCTCGAGAGTTGTCTCAAGAACAATTTCGTCGGCGTGGAGAATCCCCATCTGTACAGTGAGACGTACATCGGCACAAAGGATTTGATTCAGACCTTCGTCGATCAAGTTGAGCTGAGCCTTCGATTCGTTCTTGGCACTAAAAGCATGACCGATAGGGAAAAGGTATCTTTCTTCAGACATCTGGAGTTGAACTATGGACGGACTGCGCTTTGCCTTTCTGGGGGGGCGACGTTTGCTTATTACCATTTCGGTGTCGTCAAAGCCCTACTTGATACCGGTCAGCTTCCGGAGATCATCACCGGTACGTCTGGCGGCGCTCTGGTCGCGGCATTGGTGGCCACCAGAACAGACGAGGAATTGAAGAAACTGCTAGTGCCGGCATTGGCGTATCGGATCAGAGCCTGTCACGAAGGGTTCACGACGTGGATTCGCAGGTGGTGGCGTACTGGTGCGAGATTTGACTCTCTCGATTGGGCACTGCAATGCAGCTGGTTTTGCCGTGGCTCATTGACCTTTCGAGAAGCATACCAGAGAACTGGCCGCATCCTCAATGTCTCATGCGTGCCCTCCGACCCTCATTCCCCGACAATCTTGAACAACCACATCACGAGCCCTGACTGCGTCATATGGTCGGCGGTCCTTGCGTCTGCGGCTGTCCCTGGGATCCTCAACCCCATCGTCCTAATGCGGAAGACGAAGGACGGGACACTAGTGCCTTACTCATTTGGCAACAAGTGGAAAGACGGAAGCTTGCGAACCGATATTCCGTTGAAAGCGCTCAACATCCACTTCAACGTCAACTTCTCCATTGTTTCACAAGTCAACCCGCACATCAATCTGTTCTTCTTTTCACCGCGGGGCTCGCCAGGTCGGCCAGTGACACACCGCAAAGGCCGAGGCTGGCGCGGAGGATTTCTCGGATCCACTATTGAGACCTCGGTCAAGCTCGATCTACAAAAGTATCTCAAGATTCTGCGTCACCTAGAACTGCTACCTCGACCAATGGGCCAGGATTGGAGTGAGATTTGGCTGCAGCGATTCGACGGTACAGTGACCATCTGGCCCAAGACCATCGCCAGCGACTACTGGCACATCCTCAGTGACCCCAGCCCGCAACGGCTGGATCGAATGCTCATGGTCGGTCAGCGCAGCTGCTGGCCGAAGATCCGTTTTATCTCCAATCGCCTGAAGATCGAAAGAGTCATCTTGGAGGGCCTGCGAAAGGGAGGCCCGATTGACGACGGCGCGCGTGTTCCTGACCCTGTTCTCGAACAACAGGCGCAGGAGGCGCTCCTCCGGGCCAGGAGGCGACCTGGCACGGATGACAATACCTCGTCCACGGAAGAGAAACATCTCAAACCAACCCCTTCACCAGGGCGGAGGCAGAGCAGTATACTTGAGGAACTTACGCGACAGGCATCCGTGCTGTGGCATGACGACACGGTCACTGAAGGAGAGGATGATGCCGTGACGACTGATGAGGCCGAGGGCGAGGATGGTGTGGTGCAGGCTCCGGTGGAAATGACATGATGAATGGAGGCCAATGTATATCATTAGAATGAACCAGGATCAGCAAGCGTGAGCGAGTATTATGTACTGCTATCGATAAAAATGAACGAAGTTGGTGTGCATCACGTGACACACAAAAGTACGTTGCCCTTGAGCGGGCGCCAATGCAACCGGCAGGGAGCTTCTGGCGAGGCACAACCGAGATCTGACGTCGATCTTTGCAGCCGCTGCTTGGTGTTAATCCAATGTTCCTACAATTTCTCCCAGGCGTGATACGGCCCGCCGCGGTCTCGGGAGCTCGGAAAAAACCCATGGGCAGTGTCGCATAGCCCTCCGGTACCAGCTCCGCACATGTTTGAGGCTCCTCCGGCACGCAGGGTAGGCGGTTGAGACATGTTGATATTTAATGCTTTAAAAGTGCTGCTTGGAACGAGATCTCCTGGGTGTTGGTGTTTGCTGCAAGGGCGACTGTGATTGGCTGCAATGTAGAAAGTGGGGGAATTGGCGGGTCTTGGCGCCGTGAGCGCCCTCAGTGGCTCGCAGTTTTGCCTGCGCTAGCCTCTCTAGTTGCCTGCAGCACCAAACTGCACCAAACACGCCTGCGCCTCTCGAACTGCGAACCCCCCCCCCAAACTTGGATGTCAAAGGGTTGGACTCTCGTCATCCATCAAAACATCATCGCTCACGGTCCCTGCAGACTATTATGCATCTGTCGCCATCGCAGTCGTGACAGTGGAGTTGTTGTGACAGCCTCTGGTCTGTCTACCAGTCGACTTTTCCACTGGGTCGCGACAACCACCCGCTTGCTGACAGACGCGCTGCGATCCCTCATTGCAGAGTTATTCACCATCCATAATTCAGACGCCCTCGATCCTTACTGGCGCTATTCTTCCAAAGCCGCACTTATCGAAGTCAATCCGGGGGATGAGTTTGGGCTGCAGCCATCGCCGAGTAACCACTCCTGAAGTAATCCGCCGCACACCTTGAAGCCCCGTCGAGTGCCTCCGCAAAGTGAATCGCCACCACGCCTACAATGCGAGGCAGCAAGAGGACTATCGAAGAAGCCGTCAACTATGAAGATTCGGATGATGAAGACTATGATGACCGAGCCGCCGGAGCCTCTAAGTCTCGGTCTGCTAAGTCTCGGAGGCGAGGTGCTCCCGTCCGTAAGAAGCAAAGAAGAGGGTATCGGGGCTCCGATGTCGACAGTGACTCGGACGAGATCGTGTCGGATGACGAAGATTCTTTTTCTGATGACGAAGAAGAACAAATTGAGACAAATGCGATAGGCAGACCTGTTCGAAGGGCCGCGAAACAAGCTCAACACAAGTACGAAGAAAGCTCCGAAGACGATGAAGACGAACTTGCGATCTCCTCAGGAGACGAGCGCTCACGTCGCCAAGCCAGGGGAACTCCCCGGAAAAAGCTGATCATCACCCTCAAGACCACTCCGGCCCGCCCAACTAGGAGTTTGCGGAACAGGAGTGGAAGTTACGCCGTCAACCCACCCACCACCTCGTCTGCGCCCCATCCTGCTCCTACGCGAAGAAGTAGTCGCCTCTCACACGACCCTGAGGAACCTTTGATCAAATTGACCGATTCAGGAAATCACGTTGAGATTGTCCGCGAAGGCTCCCGAGATCCAGAAGGCATTCCTCCAAGAGCAATGAAGGGCGGGAAAGGTCTTAAATACCCGTCGAAGAGTACTATCGACGAAGAGTCACAACCTCAGCCCAAAGAAACGGAAGTCGAAAAGGAAGTTAGAGAGGAAGTCGAAGAGGAAGTCGAAGAGGAAGTCGAAGAGGAGCTTGAAATACAGGCATCACAACATGAACTTCTGCAAAGCGATCCTCAAACAAGGGAAGAACACGCGGAGGAACCGTTGCCACAAATTATCTCGGATATCATGGCAGTTGTTGAAGCTGAAGGTGTGGAGAGTGACGCCGACTTCAATCCGGAGCCTGCTGCTACGCAGGAAGAGGCGCCAGCCGAAGCCGAGAAAGCGAACAGAGAAGAAGAAGATGATGATGAAGATGAAGATGAAGATGAGGTGAGACCGGCACGAGGCAGGTTAACCCGTGGTTCTTCGAAGAGAAAAGTGGAATCGCCTGAATTTAAGCCACAGAACTCGCCCAAGCGACTGCGTGGACGGACCCTTGGAGGTGGAGCCAAATCTGGGACCTCGGGCAGTCGTCGACGAAGAGCTCCAGATGAGAGCAGTGACTTCCATCCTGAAGATGAGGCCGCCAATCAAGACGACATGTCGAGCTCAAGTGAGTCCAATGCATCACCTCGCAAGAAGAATGGCGACGATGATGATTTTGAAAGCGAAAACCAAGGTCGAAGATCTAGACGCCTGCGCAGCCAAGCAGCATCTCGCCAACGGTCCGAAGCAAGCGACGAAGATCTAGCTGCAGAAGTCGCAGAGTTGAAGCGGGATGGCAGGAAGACAAGGCGCTCGAGAGAAGAAGAAGAAGAAGAAGAAATCATCTATGAGCCTCGCGGGCGGCGAGGCGGTAAAAAACCAAACTACGACCTCCTCAGAAGTCTTGCTCCGCTTGATGAAGAGGAAGAAGCTGCTCCATCCCCTTCTGCACGAGCCCGAAAGACCGGCGGCGCCGGTTGGAACCGGAGTCTTTTTAACACTTATGGCCCATTTGGTGGTGGCGGCGGTCTGCCACCTGTGCTGGGAGGGGGCCATCAAAGGGCTCAGGGCGGTGTTGATTCCGACAGCAGCGACGATGAGACAATGAAACAACCCAAGCATCTGGGCGGTACAGTTGGGATGACTCCGACGACTGCTGGTGGCTTCAACCTCTTTCCGCAAACACTCAACGCGGATGCGGCCCAAAATACAGCTGGCACCCCAGCCAATCTCGGCAAGATCAAGGACAAGCAGGCCCTAGCAGATGCTGACCCTCTTGGAGTAGACCAAAACGTGACTTTTGACAACGTAGGTGGTCTCCAAGGGCATATCGACCAGTTGAAGGAGATGGTGGCTTTGCCATTGCTTTATCCAGAGATCTTTATGCGATTCAAGATAACCCCTCCCCGTGGAGTCTTGTTCCACGGTCCTCCCGGCACTGGCAAGACTCTTCTCGCGCGAGCATTGGCTACGAGTGTCAGCTCGCAAGGCAAGAAAGTCACCTTCTATATGCGCAAGGGTGCTGATGCCTTAAGCAAATGGGTTGGTGAAGCTGAAAGACAACTACGGCTCCTTTTCGAAGAAGCGAGGAGGAACCAACCCAGTATCATCTTCTTTGATGAAATCGACGGCCTTGCTCCTGTACGGTCAAGCAAACAGGAGCAGATTCATGCCTCCATTGTTTCAACGCTGCTGGCGTTGATGGATGGAATGGACGGGCGAGGCCAGGTTATTGTCATCGGGGCCACCAACCGGCCTGATTCCATCGATCCGGCATTACGAAGGCCTGGCAGATTTGATCGAGAGTTCTACTTCCCCCTGCCGGGTACTGAAGCCAGGAAGGCCATCATCGACATTCACACCAAAGGCTGGGATCCCCCTTTGCCCAAGGATACCAAGGATGAGTTGGCTGAGTTGACCAAGGGTTATGGTGGCGCGGACCTGCGTGCTCTTTGCACAGAAGCTGCGCTCAATGCGGTGCAGCGCCACTACCCTCAGATTTACAACTCCAACGAAAAGCTCGCCATTGATCCAAAGAAGATAGAGGTCACACCCAAGGACTTCATGATTTCTCTCAAAAAGATGACGCCTTCTTCGGAGCGGTCTGCGTCGTCCGGCGCTGCTCCGCTACCACCAAGTGTGGCGCCTCTGCTATGGAATCAGCTCGAACAGATCAAGGAGCTGCTAGCAGAGGTGCTCCCGCAAAGGAAGAGACTCACCGCTCTGGAGGAGGCCCAATACGAGGACACTGCTCATGGTCACAATTTTGGTCGGGAAAAAATGCAACAGACATTCGAAACGACCAGAGTCTTCCGTCCTAGACTGCTGATACATGGCAAGATGGGAATGGGTCAACAATACGTCGCTTCTGCTCTCCTCAATCACTTCGAAGGTCTCCATGTCCAAGCATTTGATGTCCCAACATTGTTTAGTGACAGTGCGAGTTCACCCGAAGCCACGGTCATCAGACTGTTTTCTGAAGTCAAAATGCACAAACCGAGCGTCATCTACTTACCGAATGTGCAGGAATGGTACAACACAGTTGGTCAGACTGTAATTTCCACTTTCGTGGGCCTTTTGAGATCCATCAAACCCACCGACCCTGTTTTGTTACTTGGATTTGCAGAGGGCGACTATGATGAAACGGAGGATAACATGCGACGTGAATTCTTCGGATACTCGAAGAAGAACCAATTCGCGTTGAGGGAACCTAATCATGCAGAACGGTCTGAATTCTTCCGCAGCATCAAAGACTATATTAGCATGGCACCAGATGAATTCCCGGATCCGAAGCATCGAAAGAAACGTGAGTTAGAGAAGCTTGCTGTGGCGCCTCCTGAACCAGAGAAGCCGAAGACTACATTGACCAAGGAGGAGCTAAAGGCACAAAAGAAGCGTGATCGGCAAACTCTCAACATGCTCAAGATTCGATTACAGCCCATCATGGATCAGATCAGGACAAAATATAAAAAGTTCCGAACTGGTGTCATTGATGAGAGCCACATTCGCTACCTCTACGACGAAGCTGATCCAGGTACGGTGACATCTGATTTGCATACTGAAATCTTGGCCAGAGCTTCCTACAGACCCTTCGAGATTGGAAAGGATGCCCATGGCGTGCCTGGTCTAGTAGATCAAGCCAACGGAAACTTCTATTACAATTTGGACAGTGTAACCATCGAGAAGCGTTTGAGTAATGGATATTACAAGCGACCGAAAGACTTTCTGGCAGATATCAAGCGCTTGGCCAAAGATGCGAAAGCAATTGGTGATGAAGACCGACTACTAAAGGCGAATGAGCTCTTGGCCAACGTCGAGGTCGATATCGGATCTCTGGAAGTCAATGAACCTGCCTTGACTGCGGAGTGCGAACGTGTTTACCAACGAGAACTGGAACGGGAAAGAGGGTCTCTGGAGAAAGCCGAACAAAACAAAATGCCTCCGCCTCCTAATGTGACAAACGTTGCCGAGGCATCGGGAACAACGACCACAAATGACACAGGTCCGATACTACTAGGCGAGCCTATGCATCGCCGCAACGACTTTGCTCAGCGGCTTGCTCCAGCATCCGCCCAACCCAAGTCAACGGACTCGATTGTTACGAACGGCATCCACCCGAGTCACAACAATTCACAACTGTTGACAAATGGATCCCACACAAATGGCCACGAAGCAGATGTGGAAGGTGACACACCCATGGAAGGTACAGACTCGCATCCGTCTTCGAACAATAAGAGCAACGAGACGCAGCAGACGCACACGACCAGCTCCTTTGGTGCGCGGGCCTCTGCCCAGACAAGACCGTGGCATGCATATACAGCGCCATCGCAACGGCTCATGAAGGAATCGGGATTGTCAGCACCCCCTTCTCAAACTGGAGCTTTCACCCCGATGCCTCACGGCAGCCATCCAGGGGAATTCCAGAACGACGCTAGCACAACTCAATCTCCCAACGAAAAGAGGACATCCTCCAATGACACACAGCAGGAGACTCAACACGACTCAGGCCCTGATCTATATCCGTTTGAAGAGAGGCGGTCTGTTGGGGGTAGTCAGATCCCATCTACTCAAGGTACGTGCATCCCCGCGTTAGACTTTGGCTGTCTCGTCACCCATATATCATCTCCATCCCCCAAAGATCTCCAAAACCCGATGCTGAATGTCTTGACAGGGCAAAATTCGCAATCTCAACATACGGCCAGAGGGAGTCGTCCGTCTTCGTCGCAAGAGGCGAACCAAGACTACAGCTCACAGCATTCCATATCCATGCCTCCACCCATTGAGGCCAAGCCTCACCGGCATTCTAACGCAAGCCGCATTGACGACCTCCTCAACCCTTCCGTTTCATCACAACATCCAACACCAGCACTGCAGCCTTCTCGGCCCAACTTGATCCAAGTCGAGGAACTTGCGCTTGAAAACCTGCACACCGAGATCACGGATCAAACTAGCGGTTTGTCCGTGGAGCAACTTGAACAAGTCAACAGCGTATTGATGGATACGATCTGGAGGACGAGGAGTGAATGGGATAGAAACCAAGTGAAGGGAAATGTGGCGGAGGCTTTCAACGAGGTTATGGAGGACATGGCTGGTGTCGGACAGCTGTTTGGGGATCTGAGCTGGGGCCGCAAGGCGCAGGTATGACAGACGACGCCCTTTGAGGATCTAAGGAAAGGATGACCAGCCAGGCAGGCAGGGGTATACACTGGAAACATGGGGCCAAGGTAGGAGGATGGGGAAGGGGAAAAAAAAAGAAAAGGGCTCCCTTCCTTGTTCCGGGGCAATATTGGACGGCTCGCTTGAATCAAAATGTGAATCATATCATATGGAAAATACAAACGGGCAGAAAAGTATAATCGGCGCCAAACAGCAGCCAGCCAAACTTGCCTACAAACGCCTAATTGTTATAAACCGGTGCCGTCTGGGGTCCCTTCATAGTTCTAGGGAGGCCTTACCGTGTTGACCCTTGGATTCTATTTCTATCGGGTTGGTTGGTCTATCATTTGCTTTCTCTGGGGACGCCATCTATCCCATCCCAATTCTCGGTCATATCGTACATGTTCTTCACATCTTCTCGTCGTCGCTTTGTCTCGCGGCTTTTATTGCGCAGCAATCACCGCGTCTTCTCCTTCTGCCTTGGCATCTCCCCTCCCTTCTTTTCTCCCTTCGGCCCAGGCAGAGCGTACAGTCCTCCGCCCACAAACACTATCACTGCCCCCATCACCACGCCCGTGGGCAGTCGGTTCCCGAACAGCCAGATGCTCAAGACCAGACTGAGGAGTTTCCTGACGTTGAGGACGATGGAGACGGTCAGAGAGGACGACTGTGCCGAGAGCCGGTTCACGCCTATGATACATAGGAGCTGTGTCGCAGCGTTGAGCAAGAGTAAGACGAGCGGGCGGGGAAGGATGGAGGACGGTGCAACTAGCCAGGAGGTGGAAGATATAGGTGCATCCGTTTTTGACAGGTGATTGATATCGTGGCCTGGAACAGCCAGTAGACTCAAAAAATCAAAAAAGAGTGGTCGGGATTGAGTGATAAAGTAAGGCAGCGACATAGTGTGGCTGTAGAAGAGCGTCTCCGCTGTGATCTCCGCTGACCGGCCGTGAGTGGCGTACATGTCGTCGGCATACAGACCCATACATGCCGAGAGAACGAGTGCGGATGCGAGAAGCGCGAAACCGGGAGCTTGAGACGAGAATGCCGCAACTCCCGACGTGGTGGAAGCGGGTTCAAAGTGCTCTGTCGCTGCCGAGCGGTAATCGTCCAACTCTTCGACAGCTGCCCCAATATCAACCTGCTTGGACCACGTATCGGCAAAAGCCGCCAACACCACCCCACCGAAAAGAAACAACACAGCCACAATCTTCTGCGTGGGATATCGTCGACCCTTCCAAACTATGCCCGCGAGCATCGTAGTGACAGGGCCGGCACTCCTGAGTATTATATGCAAGGGAATACCGATGCGGTACTTGAACGCCATGTTATTCAGAATGTTGATGCTCAGGAAGTAAGCGGTGTAGACCACCCATTTTTGGATTGGGATGTTCCGTTCTCTGAGGTAGAGGTTTCGCAGACCGCGACGAGGGGAGAAATGCCGTGGTAATGTGAACAGGGATACGAGGAGGAATTGAAAAGCTGTTATGAGAGATCCCGATGAGGGAGAGGCATGGATGATGGATTCGAGGGTGTAGACATTGGAGCAGCAGCCGCCAAATATGAGCAGGAGGGTCGGAGCCCAGATTTGGAGGATGGACGGGAGCGTGCTTGTGGATGTTGTTGTTGTTGATGAGGTGGTCGATGGTGAAGAGGAGGGTTTCAGGGAGGGAGAAGTGGCTTTTCCATTCTGGTCAGGGTCCTTGCTCTCATTACGATCATTATCGTCTTTCTTGAATCTCTGTCGAATGGGCGTCGAGTTGTCCAGAGACTTCATGCTGGAGCCAAAATGGAGACGGACGAAGCTTGTGGTTGCGGCAACGAATTCGTCTTAGTCGCCATCCATCATTGAGTATCGCGAACTCACGTGCTGCTCACGTGTAACCCGCCTTGGACAGTCTTGGACAGTCCTGGGCGGTGCAGCCTCGCCGCTTTTAACGCAGCCTCGTCTACCGAGTACTTGGTACATTCTCCGTACTACGTACCAAGATACATACCTAGGTACTTCCGGCATCACCTTGTCCCATCTAATAGGCGAACTAAAGCTCGTCGCTGCAATCATCCCGTCTCTCGCGTCCCCCTCCCCCTGCTGTCTCCTTGTGTTCTCGTTCAGCCTTTTTTGCAGCTTCTCTATTCCGAACTCATTAGCGTCCTGACCGTGAGAATAAGTCCTGGAACTTTGCATGTTCAGGCTCTAAGGCAACGGGCTCATATTCGATGTCTCTGAGTCGCTCGTTTTCTCTTCGTAGGAATTTTACACTCTCCATCCCCATATTCCCTATTCCGCTGATGTTAGCATCCAACGACTCTGCAAGGGTGTCCAAATTGCCCGATATCTGAGCAACATTGTAACAGCTTTGGGGACAACTCGCCTTGACCCTCTTTAACTCCGGCTTCTTCGAGCTGTCCTCGTTCTTCCTCACCACGCTCTACCTGACTGGTTTCCTCCTTAGGCTTGAACATGTTTGTGAAGGAAAATTGACGTTGTTGCTTGTTCTCATCGTCCCAAAGTCGTGGTCGGTCTTCCTCATGCCGCTCTCCCTGACTGGGCCCACTCTCAGCCTTGCACCGGATAGATTTGAAGATGCCAGGTGTGTAATATGCTTGCCAGCCGTCATCGTTGTCCACGTCCGGAAAATGAGACATACCCAGAGGTGGGTGAATAGTCTGTGGGACAGGAACGCTAGGTGCGTCTATTATCGTCTCGCGTCGTCGAAGGCCGTCCCATTCTAGACTTTCGTTCCGGCCAAGTGACTCGAACTGGGGTTTGAGCTTGTATTCAGGCTGTCGCCGGGCCGACTTTTCGTCTTCCGTCTCTTTTAATCGACGTAGAATCCGTCGCCTTGCATCTTCCATCGCACGATCTGCTCCCTGCCGCCCGAGTTCCGCCGCTATGCGATTCCATCTTTCCGGTAGATATTCCCGTGTGATTATTGGTACAGCGGCCTTCCTATCATCGGCTACCTTGGTAGCCTGCGGCAGCTGAATCTTGATGTGAGGACCCCTCCACCTTCGAGAACGGGATGCCTGGTCCTGGGCAGTGTTGGTTGGCTGGCCCGGAGTAGACTCAGCAGCTGTAACAGCCACCTCACGGCTTGGCTGTATGGCCGCTGCATCCCAGTTACTCAGTGTCTGATCCTTCGAAGTCATGGGTGGAAAGAGGCCTTCGAGCTTTCGAGCAGAATTCGCCACTGGTGGTTCTGGTGGTGCTGGCAGTTGCAGAGCTGGTCTAATAGTGTCGACAATGGTTGTTTCGTTCAATGCGCTCCCTTGGAGCTGGGCGGCAACACGTTCTGGCAACGCCACTAGAACTTGGGCAATCTGGTCCAGACCAAAAGCGGTTTCCTTGACGTTCCGGCGGATGCTGCTTGTATCGTCCTTGATGGCGGTGGTGAGAGATCTGGCGTCCGTCAGCGGATCGGATACGGAATGCGAAAGCGAGCCACTCACAGAGTCAACAGTGCAAGGGCGATTTCCAGTGAAGCTTTGTGAGACTCCAACCGGTTTCTAAGCTTGTTCATGTCGTTTTGCCCGTACATGGCCCATTTCATGTGATTGCCAAATCTGTCCGAGGATAATTTGGCCAGCATTTCTTGTATCTCTTTAACAATCTCGGCCGTGTGGACTAGAATGAGCAGGACCCTGTGCTCAAGTGGTTGAGGTACGCGCTTGGAGGTGACCATGGCATCATTCCGGAGTGTTTCCAAACAGAGTCCCAGAGAAGACAATTCCTTCAATACAGCGTCCAAGTCGCGATGGGCATCTCGCACTTTCGATACGAACGAGTAGATGTCCAGCGAGGTTTTACCAACATTCGAGATCAGGCTGGTACAGGCGACGGCGATGGATAGCGGTTCAACCGGCATGTTTGATCGAAGTGCTTCAACCAACACTGGTGGCAGACTGTTCGAGCGAGAGCAGACGTTGTTCTCGATACTGTAAGAGGTATCGACATGATTGTCATGATCTCAGCGAAGGTGGCCACAGCAATGAGGCTGGCGTCAAGAGAACGACTAGGCAGGGCAGATTCGGAATAGCCGAAGTCCAGACTTGCAGAATATGAGCTCGGCCCCCCTATCCCCCCTGACTGGTGCAGTAAATGTTGCCAGCGGGCGACATTCACGAATCTTGGTCTCAAGCTCAGCCACATTTGAGATGACAATTTATGATCCAATGCCTTTGTTCACCATTCACCACCGTCTTCTAGGCATAATGTGATGCCCCTTCAACTGCAAAAGGAGGGCAGTGACCCCTTTGAGCGTAGCCTTGCAGCCTCGTGCGTCGGCCTCGGATAATCTCTGGCTCCGATTCCGATGGAACCGCAGTTGTCGGCATTGCAGCCCCGCCTCTCGTATGCCTCAACTTAACCCTGACCAGCAACCTCTCACCAACTTAGAGTAAAGAAACGCCGGATGAATGATTGGTCCCTTCTTGATATGGTAAGGCTGGGGGAGAAAGACGAGGAAAGCAATCATGTCTGCGGGAGGCTCAGGACTTTTGTCAGCTTCACCGTTCCAGGAATATGAATCAGAGACCATTGACGGCAGCGTTAGACCTGCAAAGAGACAGAAAGTTGCTGCAGCGTGCGACCAATGTAGGGACAAAAAGATCAAGTGCGATGGACGGAAACCGCTATGCCGGCCCTGCGAGCGAAGAGATGGCACCACGGCCCATTGCGAATGGGGCTTGAGGAAGACACGCAGCATCGGAGCTTCCAAATTGGAGATTATACGCCTACAGTCTCGCATCGACGAGTTGGAAAGAGCTGGTCGGCGATCGAAGCGGCCAGAGAGCGTTGATCGGCCGTCTACGCCTCAGTCGACATCTGATCGAAATCATGACAGTGGCGCAAATGCAATGATGGGATTGATGGAGGAAGGCGAACCCGGTGAAGCGGGCATTGTGGGCGACTCCAGCGCTGCGAGTTTCATGAACCGCATCAAGTCCGCTCTGGACCAGCAGCTGACTCCAGACCCCGCCCAACAATCAAACTCGACGGCATCACCGGCAGCGGCTGGTTCACAGCGACAACGACGATTCAAGAACCCTGACTACGTCCTCCCTTCCAGACAACAGGCAGACCGTCTCCTGGAGGTCTACTGGAGGATCGTGGATCCGCTGTATCCTTTCGTCGACAAGGACGATTTCATGGGCAAGTACCAGAGTCTCTGGACTGGTAATCCCACAATGGACGACGAGGTCTGCTTCATATGTCTTCTCAACGCCATCTTCGCCATATCCTGCATTTTGGACTCGTCCATTCGCCCTTCGGATCGCGTCAGCTCCGGCGAAGTCTTCCACAAACGCGCTCTTGTATATCTCGACCTTGAGTTCCTGCAACACCGCTCGGTGCACACCGTCCAGTGCCTCCTTCTCCTCGCACAGTACCTCCAGAGCACCAGCGAGCCGCAGCAGTGCTGGCTTTTCGCGGGTTTGGCCATCCGGATCGCTCAGAGCCTCGGTCTCGATTTACCCTCCACTAGCAGCCGGACATCCAATGGCAAGCTGAATGACTTCCTCCGCAAGGTCTGGCACGGCTGCGTCCTCATGGACCGGACACTGTCTATGACTTTCGGACGTCCCGCTATCATCACTCCCCAAGCTGCGGCTTCGGTGCCTAGGCCACATCCTCACCCGGAGCCAAGCGAGAGCTGCTCCTGCCACAGAGAACTTTACGTGTTGCAGCCGTCGTCTCCTGATCTCCATTTTTTTATCGAATCTCTCAAGCTGTACGAAACTATGAGCGAGACACTCGTCGCGCTCTACAGCCCCACATCGGCAGAGGCGTCTGACTCAGAAGAGGACAGCTATACCCGATACTTTGGCGGCGGCGCCCTGGGCGCAAACGCCGCCGGGACCGTGCTGGAAATGGACAGCAAATACTGGATCTGGCAACGGCGGCTGCCCTGCCATCTCCGGTACTCTCACGAGGACAACAACACGAACATGATCCACGCCCGACAGGCCAAGGTCCTCTACCTTCGATACTGCCACATTCGGACACTCCTCTTCCGACCGGTCCTATCTCGCTTCTGCACAACCAGCCAGATTGACGAAGACCTCACCACCGTCGTCGAAGAAGAAGACACCCTCGCCCGCAAGCTCGCGCTGCAGTGCTCGGTCATGTGTGTGCAAAGCGCACTGAATACCGTCGCCCTGTTCGGCAAGGTGCACTCGGAATGCCGGCTGGAGCTGCTTGACGATCTCCTGCCCGCGTGGTGGTACAGTATCTTCTACCTGTACACGGCGGCAACGGTCCTTGTTGCCGCACGGCTCAACTCGACCATCGAAGCCGAGGTGGGCGGCGAGGAGGTCATCATGAGCGCCGCTCGCACCGCGACCACGGCACTGCATAGGTACGGTAGCTTCGGCAAACATGCTAAACGGTGCGCCGCGGCCGTGGGGTTTCTGTTCGATCAGATTCCGCCTCGTCATTGCCAGGCCCAAGTCCCAACCCAGGCCGAAACCCAGGGGCGGACCGGGACGCAGGCGGTGATGCAGACACATCGCAGCAACAGAAACAACAGTGATGAGACTGCGCGACGGGGAAATCTCCTGCCGCACGTGAACGGTGCCGATATTGACCCACGCTTCAGCAGCGGCAGTAGCGTCAACGACAGTGTCCAGAACTGGACGGCTATCAACCACCACAGGACTGGTGCGAGTACTTTTCCTCCTGCTCCTCCTTCTGGACCTACCGACGCCACAGCCCAAACCATACCAAGTACCGACACCACCACAGACGACACGAAAGCATCCGCGCCGTCTCAAGCGTTCATGCTGAGCAGCAGCAGCAGCACCGGCGGGATATTCCCCTCCTCGGCATTGTCGTCCTTCGATCCCGATCCCAATCCCAATCTCTCCCTCAATCTTAGCCTCGACAACCTCGATCTCGATCTCGATCTCCTCAGCGGCGACATGTCCTGGTTGAGCAGCATTCCTTTCGACTTGTACGGTGAGCTGTGAGCTGTCACTGTTACCACCATTATGACCACCAGCATGACTATATGCGTCAGGCGAGCGAGCAAGCAGTAGACAAACAAGCAAGCAAGCAAGGACAAGACAAAACTAAAAGGAGGAAAAGAAGCGATGGCGATGAACAACTATTTAGTCAGTTAGGGGGCTTCGTCCCTGTTGTAAGTAACGCTTATAATACCCAGCACAGATTCCAAACGAAAAGAGAAATCAAGGCTGGCAGGTAATAATTAATGCCTGTGTGGTTGAATGTATTATGGCGTTCCTTTTCTTTTCTCCCGAAAAGATGCCTGTTGTCTACTGTAAGTTGGTATGTACAAGTTACAAAATGCTCCACATCCCGCGCGGCCATTTCCATAATATGCTCGTGCAGACTCCCTTGCGCCGTGAAGCGTGTATCACGTCACCCCCCCCCCC